GACTGCAATATCGACAATATAAATAATATACGAGTAATTATTTCTAGTTTCAGTTACAATCGAATATATTATAAAAAGAAATTTTATAAATTTAATTTATGCGTTTAAAATGATTAAATTAATCGTAATTGCAATAAAAAGTACTTTTTATTTTTATTGAATTAAGTAAATGTTGGAATTAAGTCCATTTATTATGAAAGTAAACCTTATATATTGCCAACATTGAAAGTTTACTAAAGAGCATATAAACAACTCTGTTCATCAGAAATGAATATTTTCTATATAAATCTGCTAAAATTAAATAGTGATTTATTTCACATAAAATTACTTCTTAAATATTTAATCTGTGTATATTTAGAAAGCAATTTATGAAGGAAATATATTAGAAAATATCTGTTATATACTATACTGTCAATATTGTTATTAAAAAAATTCAATTAAATTATTAATTTTTAAAATAAATTCTTTATAAAGTCTCGAAATTGAAATTGTGGAAAAAGGAAAAGTCAAAAAGAAAATTAATATTTATATAGTAGTGTATACGCAGCAGTTCCCAAACTTTTTCAGTTCGGAACCCTTCAGAAGACATTTTCGCGAAATCTTAATTCTATCCCTGAATTTTACTAAGTAATGTGAACCTATGACGTTCTACCTTCTTTCGACTACTCACAATATCTGAGTAGTTTGCATAACGTAGTAAATTTGGAATAAAAAAGAAAATATTTTTAGATATAACCATAAACTTTTATTTTGGTGTAAGAAATATTGGACTTATATCTAATGTGAGGAATAAAATAGTTTCATTTTTATACTGAAAATAGTTTTGGAATTGAGCTTTATGTCTGATTGCTGAATAATAAAGCCGAGATGGCAACCGACCAACTCATAAATTTGTTTTTGATTGTAGGTTAAGTTTAAGCTGAAAAGTCTGATTCATGTCGATAGGTGGACACAAAGAGGAGCAGAGCTACAGTGATCTTTTCGGCTACTAAAGGATATTGGTTTGTCAGTCCTATCCAAGTCATTCAGTGACACAGATTCGAATTTTGTAAGATTCATTGATACACTGAATTTGAATAAACTCTTCATACTCTGGCACGGACGACATGTGAAATATCAGTGTTGATGTCTGGTAAGTCTTCCTACAGCGCTTTCACAATGTGCATTAAATGCTCACAAATATCTTTGTGCTCATCAGCTTCGATTTCTAACTCGATTTCGCCCAGTGCGGACTTGTGTTAAGTGCTGTTAATTTGTAGAAATTGAAAAATAGGACACCTGGTATTTGTTAAATATAATGTTTTTTCGTACGGAAACTTGGTTTCGAAATTATCGAAATGATAGCCACTTTTGTATCTTTAATAGTGTTATTTTAAAATCCCTAGTAAATCTGATTTCTGAGCTTTTACGCGGAATCCCTATGAGACTTTTGGGAAAAATTAAGGATCATAGTTTGGAAACCGCTGAGTGTCTTGTATAGTAGTGTATAAGAATGCTGTAAATTGAGAAAGAAAACATGGAGAATCTCGTTTTAAACAGTTATTTTTAACTTCATTAAGAGAAGCTATATTAAAATTTTTACTTCAAATACTGTAATGAACTAAATTTTAGACTATTCTGTATATAAATACTGTACAAGTTTGCTTGAAATAAAATAAAGTTTAATTACAACAGTTATTCAAAGCACTATCCATTGACATTAATGCATTCGTTAACCACAAATTGACATGTTTTTATCATATACCGAAATAATTTTATTACAGTTCTAAACAATTATCAATTAATAACATAAAAACCCAATTAATAATAAAAATTATGATTTTACAGTGCAATTATTCTCTTACTTCTGGTACCCTATACGTATACTCGTACTAAACACATCTCATATTTCATATTAACTTAATTAACATATTGCTTAACTTTCCCAGCAACATTTGGTGGCGCCATCTGTTATATTTTATTTTAAACACTTTTTATAGTTTTAATTATTATAAAACGGAAGAAAGCTTACTTTTGAGGGTAGAAATGGGTTTTATTAAAAAAAATTGTAAATACTAATAAAATCGTCATTAACTCTAACCTTACTCGAGATACGACATGACTCCCCTCTTTATTTCCCCACTCCTCTATCTTTAACTATCNCCTAGCCCAATTTGCAAGCAAACCGAATATAACAGCCAAATGGGAAGAGACTAAGATTATTATACCTGTGCTTGACAGCAACAAACTTATAACAATTGAAACACTAGAAACCTTTGTGAAATCCCTCAAAGAAAATTGTATTAACAGCAGAGATGCAAACTCACTCTCCCCCGCATGGCAATCACTCTTCAACAACCCCTTAAATTAAATAGGCCAATCCACTGTCATCAAGCATGTCACAATCTGTCAAGCATTTTCTGTATTTTTCTTGTTATTTTATTTTCAAAATTTAAACAATTATCTTATCATTGATAGTTGGTCACATCTCTTGGGTAAAATTAAAAGAAAATTAACAATAGCAATATCTTTTAAACTTTGTAATCAGCAATGACGTAATGGCCAAAAACATTTGTTCTTATGGATTAAACTGCTAGAAACAAAGTGTGAAAGGTTTTGTCTCTCTTATAACATGACTTAGTAAACAATAAATTTGAATTTACTGAATTTTTTTATTACAAATAAGATTATAAAAAATAAAAATAAAAATATTTAAAAAAATTATAGCCTATATATATATATATATATTTGACAACTGTTTCAGAAACAACTAATTTAACAATATATGCTTTGTTGTAAAAAAATTAATACATCTTAAAGCCAGTATGTAGTAATAGTCAAATAATGCATGTGGAATGATAAAGAAAAAAAATAAAAAATAATCATTCAATCACAGCACAAGGATGCATCAAAGAAGAACAGTTTCATCATGTTACAAATCAGACATTGAAAAACTCAGTCTAACAATTAATGCAACTGATCAATGTCAGATAGCTTTATAACTTTTATATGCAACATTTGTGATGAAGCTGATTTTTAGTAATGTATGCTTGTACATTAATATTGTAATATTGTAATAATATTTACTAAAGTCAATAAATTATATTAAAAGGTTGTAAATACGCTTATACTTTTATTTAAAACCTGATGCATAACATTAAAATAATGCTGAATAATTTAGCAGATTATTGATAAGAATATGAATAAAAATGAATAATAATATATTAATAGCATGCAGTAAAACGTCGATATAGCATCTTCTTACTTATATTCAATGAATGTCAACGAATCTTTCCCATAAATATTAAATAGAAAACCTTTTATTGAGAGTATCTGTAAACTACTAAATATACTATTTTACATTTCAAACGATATTACTATTATAAAATCGTGTTACTTTTAAGTTCAAATTTGTGTGTAGGCTTTATTTCTATATAGGCTATAATTCTTGTTTTTGAAGAACTGTGCTTCAATTTAGCACAACACTCAATTTAGTGCCAATTTCAGAAGTGAAAATATATTAGCATTAAAGCGAAGTTTGAATAATAAATATATTAAAGCAGTGTTTTTCAACCTGTGGGTCGCGACCCCCAGGGGGTCGCAAAGCCTTACACGGGGGATTGCGGGTAAAAGAAAAAGACAAGTGTTTGTAGGTCCTACACTACAAATTCTCAGTGAGAAGGATGTGCCTGTTTATTTTACAGTACAATTGGGTTTTTGATTGATATTTAGATCTCAACAGAAAGAAACTTAAATACGTAGTTTTTAAAATCACTGACATAGTTTTAATATGGCCCTCGGAGGTCGCCAGAATTTTTTAACTTGTAAAGGAGTCGCTTATTCAAGAAGGTTGAAAAACACTGCATTAAAGTAACGTAATTTTGTTTTATTGAACTTAAGTAGTTGTATTTTAAAGTTAAATACCTTTACACTATAATTAAATGTAAATAGTATTATGTTTGATGATCTACATATGAAATTTATTATTACTTGAATAAGTTTCCCGATAATTATTTTAAATATAATTTATTTTTTTTAATTTTAATAATTTAATTATTCATATTATGCAATTTTTTAAAATGTGAATGTACGATATTATAATGATATATTTAAGTTTTTCTGTAATTATTTAAAAATAACTTTTAGTTTAAAATGAATTTTTCTTATTTTGCTTTTATAAGCCAATTGTTATGAGTCATTCATATACTGTACATAAACATATTATGATACATAATCACATGCCAGATAAATAAATACCAAAGAAGGCAAGCTTATCTATTTATATGTATTCGATTTAGCAAAATGTATCTATGCATTTATTATAAAACCTGTGTAAACGGGAATCATAGGTATCGAATTTTTTCTTCTATTTTGGCAGGTTTCCATTCTGAACAGATTTTACAGTATATATCAAGAGAAATAATTAAAGCAGATCACAATAAGAAAGCTAAGATTTGCAAGTCAAAATCATTTCTGCAAACTTCAAAAATATCATATAGACTAAACTCTAAGGATTTAAGCATTTCTATTCAGGTCAAAAACAAAATTGATATGCGTTCAACATTTTTAAATTTAATTCTTTTTAAATCTCATAACGGATTGAGTTTCAAAATTTTTCGTTTAAGTTTGCAACAAAACGAAGTTAAAAATATGCAGATTTGTAATAGTCTGTCTATCAACAAACTACACTCTTGTAAAGACATTTACATTTAATTTTAAATATATTATAAATCTCTTATTTGTATAAGTTATTAGAAGTACAGAATACATAAAATTATTATTATTATTTTTATTATAGTTTCCTAGAAATATAATGAATTTGTTCCTGCGCAACAAGAATGTCTGTTAAATATAGACTGGCTTAAAAGGCAGTCAATCCCTTTAGAGTAAAATAGCTTTATTGTACTTTGTACTAAAACAATTAATTAAAAACAAAATTGTTTTACAAGAGATCCTACACGTTTAGTAAATAATTTACAGCATTATGATATATTGTTATTAATTTTCAGATAAACACTTACAGAAACTGGTAATCATCAATAACTCTACACCTTATATACCTTTCCAGCAATATTTTAATTAAAACAAACGTTTTCGACTCCGTTCAGACGTCTGATTCAAGTTAAAAACGTATAAATTACAAATTAAAGAAAAAAGAAACCGAGTTCTGACAGCTTATTTGAAATTTACAACATTCGAAAAATAACGACTTGTGTGTTATAGCTTATGTACTAATCGTAGAAGTCGTTAGTTTTCGAATGTTGTAAATTTGAAATAAGCTGTTAGAATTCGGTTTCTTTTTTTCTTTAATTTGTAATTTATACGTTTTTAACCTGAATCAGACCTCTGAATGGAGTCGAAAACATTTGTTTTAATTAAAATATTGCTGGAAAAGTATATAAGGTGTAGTAATTAATTTTCAGTTACTAAACTTTCTGGTTATCTTGAGCTTAGTAACACTAATGGTTAACTAAATTATGTGCCACCTTGTATATTGGATGTTTTTCCTTCTTACAAGTATTAATGATATAAAATATACTTGAAACTTAAACAAAAATACAGTAAAACCTCGATTTAATTTAATGGACTAATTCGGGCGAGAGCTGTCCGTTATAACCGAAAGTTCGTATAATAAAGTACGTGTTCTGAATACGTGTGTTAAAAAAATTGACAAATTAGTTAGTTCATCTGCTTTTACTTATGGAGATACGTTTTTGTAATTAAAATTAAGCAGGTACGAGAAGTTTAATTTCATAGAAAAGTTTTTTATATGTGATAACTATTTATATTTATGTATTTATTTCTGTATGTAATAAATAAAGTGTATTTTTTCAAAAAAATACACTTTATTTATTTGGTAAGATAAATAAAATTAATGTTCTTAAAAAGAAGACAAATTCAGATTTGACAAAAACAGTTTTTTATTTATTTGTCTTCGGATAATGAGATACACCCGTTGTGGCATGGAGTTAAGAACGATGACTCTTGGATTTAAAAAAAATTGTTAATTTAATTACACGTAAAACGCATTTTAAAAATTAACAGAGTATTAATTTTCACATGTGAGATACGGACCGAAAGTTTTATCCATTAAATCCAAAGTCTGTTAAATCGAGGTTTTACAGTATTATAATTTCCAGTATTAAATTTAAAACTGTATAAAAATTGGACTTGAATATAATTAGAGTTATATAGGCCTATATAAAGTTTAGTATTTTATTTTAATTTTTTCATTTAAAATATATAAATTAAAATACAAATTTTCATTTTTTATAAAATTTTCATCCAAATTTTATATAAAAGTACTGGAAAATTCCATTTTTTAAATACAGAATTTATATTATTCACTTTTCTCATGGATATCGTATAATTTTTATGCTATAAAATACAGTATAGAAAATTTTCTCCAAATATACAGAATACATTTTTTAGCTAATTTTCATGAAAAGATGAATTAAATTAATCAGACATTAAAAGTAGAATTAATTAACCGAATCAAAAATTTGAGTTAATGTAAATATTATTCAAGAATTAAATTTTTGAGTGAAGATTATTTTAAAGAAAATAATTATTCTTTTAAGGTCTAAGCTAAAAAGAAAATAATAAATAAATAAAAACAATTTTTTGGTAAGTATAAAAACTAGAGTAATATGTCTGTTTTGCTCTGTTTTTTCCATTTTTAATTTCGATATTTTAGATTTGAAAAAGTCAGTGAAGTATTCTCTGCAACATAAATTTACATCAATTTAATGAGAAATTTAAAAATAATCACTTGATTCCCGATAAAGGATTTAGAACATTAGTGAAGAATCGTATTGTGAATGATAGCCTATCAAGAAGTAGCATGTGATGGGTCATTAATTTAAAATGTAAAAAATTTTCTTTAAAAAATTCGGTAATTTTTTTAGATTTAAAGAGTTTATATACATTTAATTTATTTTAAAGAATTTAAAATAAAATGTTTAAGCAATTAATAGAAATTATTAAAGTACGGTTTATGATATTTTTATAAAAAAGAAAAATAATTTAAAATATTTTTACACGGTTAATTTTGTTTTTTAATGATTTAGATTGTTTTGTAGGATTAAAAAAATATATTAAAATTAATTAAACATATTAATTCCTTTTTCTTGAGATATTTTGTTTTTATTTGAATAAATTTTAAAATTAAAACTAATGCAGCTTTAATTCCTTTTAATGGAATGCAATTAAACTTTTTAGCTTATTTGAATTAAAATTTTAAATAATTAAAAAATTTGATTTTCAAGTTTTCGAATTTATGTAGAATTTTTATCATTTGAAATTATTAAAAACTTTTCGTAAAAAATGGATTTTCGAATCATTTTAAAAATACAAAGAAGTTGCGATTGGTACGAGTTCAAATGGTTCGAAATTCGATTTAGTAGGACCATGAATTGACACCAGGTCACGCTTAATTTGATTTATTGAGAGTTTTCAGCAAGCGAATGTACAGAGAGGAAAAGAAACAGAAATCATTTTAAACAAAGATATTAAGATATTTTATAAAATAAGAAATATCGTTCATTTATATAGCCTATACTTTAAAAAATGTTTATATTAGTGATCACAGAATAATTTTTAAAGACAAGACTTGTCTTTTTTAAATTAAATTTGTTAAACTTTACTAGTTTTTAAAGTATGGTTTTTACTTTGGTTTTCTAAAGCATATTGCATACCATTGCTTTTAATAATGCTTTGTTTAATTACGACACATAACTTGGATATTATAATACAATAAATACCTGAGAAAAGGTTATAACTTAACAAACAAAAATCCTTTAAGATGCAGTCTTTTAATTTAAACTTCTAACATTTTCGGTCTACTTTATTGACCTTCCTGTTGTTATACATTATTGTCTTTTGTGTTGTCATACATTATTGAATTTAAGTGCAGGTAGAGGAGAAGTTATAACTTATTTTTTTAATTTCAACTGAACATGGGCTGAAACCAAATACATGCTTTATGTTATTATATAACACTTCAAGTAGCACGACATTTTCTCAGAGAGCAGTACTCGACCGCTATGTAAAATAATTTAAAACAATAATTTCATTTATAAAAACCTAACTAGTTTATTTGATTATTACAATACACAATTTATTTCACTCCAGGACAGATCTATATAAAGTTAATTTTGCAATGTTAATACTTAAGTTATACAAACTTAAAATGCATTATTTAATCTTTATTCATCTTTCGCTATGTTCGTGTTACCTATCTACTGCTGTCTGAACGTATTTGTAAGCATTCTCGGAACCCAATATATAATTCGAATAAAAGAAATCACTATCTATCTATAATATCAAATTTAGGATGCGTGGAAATATAAACACTAACCTTATTGGTTGGCTATAATTTGACGTAACTTTTTACTTTATTTTTAAATTTAAAATATAACCGATACTACTTATGAATTTCTGGTGATTACTATTATTGATTTTATGCTTAAAATTTTACTTTATAGATCTACTTTTGACATATGTAAGAAGCACTCTTGGATTCACAAAAGATTTAACGACTTTTTCTAACAGAAAACAGAAAATAAAACTTTAAAATGCGTTATTTTTAGCAAATAACCAATTGACCTACATATTTTTGAAATTTCCTCAAACTTTTAATAAGAATGGAAACACTTTCCGATATTGACCACAATGGAATTTTAGAAATTCACTGAATGGTTTCTTTTTTGATGAAACTGTCATATTGATAAAAAAAATCTTAGAACTAAGATGAAATGACAGCTGCTGTCCAATATAAATATTTGAAGCGTGTCGTCAGAAGTCGAAGATGTTTAAAATTCCTGTCTAAACTTTTTTCCTCAATATATTCGTATGTGTAAATCTTTGTCACTTTAACTTTGGGAATTTTTTAGAATCTGTTGTACAGACAGTTATAAATATGCATACGATACACGCATTATCGTCTTACTTAACAACTTAATATAGACGGAGTTAATGGTAAAGATAATTGGTGTCAGTGATTTTCATTACTTATTAATAAAATAGATTTCTCTCTTTAATAGGAAATATTATGTGCAATTACTGTTAAAAACATTTTAATGAGTAAACAGCAAGTGCATCTAAACAATAAGATTAAAATTATTTCGATTATACCTATAGACGATACACCTATTTAATGTGTATTTCGTTAGCCTCAATCTCGTTTACCATCTCAACTAACGGCTAGTGTTTAGTTTTTGACACTTCCTGGTAGAAATCTTATATTTTACGCTGAACTTTGTTGAGGCGAAACTCTAATAACGGTTATCATCAACTGTTTTTCCAGTTCGGAATGAGTGTGTGTATATATGTACAGTTGTGTTTTGTGATAAAAATTGTAATAAATAACTTAATTGGTCTATTCTGTAAGACAAAACTAAAGAACTTGGGAACACACTTTCGACTTTTTAATTCACTTGTGATGAATTCAATGGGCTATGCGGCCCCAGTTTGGAGTATGGATAAATTTAATGACTTTGAAAAAATACAGAATATATTTATACGCAAGATATTCCAGTTAGAATTTAATATCCCGGGCAGTGCTTTAAGATTAGAAACAAATAGATTTAGACTAAATACTATATTAATAAAAAGATATTTAATGTTTCTACAAAAAATTATTAAGGCAGANTAGAAATAATATTTCCACTATGACTTAACACTACATAACTTCCGGTTCTAATATCCTGTCTTTGCCGTCCATCCACGATCAGAATATTATTTATCTTCTCCACCGACCAATCACCTGGACCATCACAACTTGAACTCCATTTTCCTTCTACAACTATACCAGAATCATCAGCAAATTCATTACTAGTCTAAACTTCGTCAAGTTTCGAAGAATTGCGCCCAATACCACGCATGAGCGCTGGAAGCAAACCAGATTCAAGAAAGCAACATGCAGAAGAGCTAGCTTCGTCAGAGTTTAGAAACCAAAAGTTAACACAAAAATTCGGGAAGAAAAAAGTAAAAGCGAAAAATCTTCTCGGAAGAAATCCCTGAAAGAGAGTCGGGTAATGAAGATACATCAGCCTCTTTCAAGAATGCTGATTACTGTTGCTTCTGTCGCTACTTCTACACTAAACGTGGCAAGTCTGCGACTGAGTAGAATATATAAGGTGCAGAAGGTGGATACACTAAGTCCGCAACCTTCTGCCCGAAATGCGACGAGATTGGATCTGGTGATGACAGCCCAACAGATGGAGGTGATCCAGATCAGTCTTCCGAGTTGCAGAATAGTGAGTTAACCCACTTGTTTATGTTTTTAATGTAAAGAAGCTATATATTTGTAATCTAACGTAGTTTTTAGTTTTGGTAAGTAAATTTTTCTCATTGAGATTTTCTTTGATTCATCTTCCTCCATATATTGGGAGAAGATGGTAATTTGCGTACTTGTATTTGGATAAGTTTTCTCCAATAGATTAATGTAATAGATGAAAACCATATCCACTTTTAAAGCACCAAAAGTCCAAGGTATCTTATGTGCCTGGTAATAGTTTGTAAACAATAAATCTTAGAGTGGTAGTCATTTGCAAACAAAAGTGTAACTATCTTCCCTCGAGTTATTATATGTAAAATTGTTAAAACATTTTTAATGTCAGAATAATTTAAAAATATAGTTTTTTAAAGAATAATATCAGGATAAAATTATTTAAAAATATATTGACGATTACAAAAATTTAACGACAACACAAAGTTCAGTCTTCAAATTTTTCCTTTTTATATGTGGAAATAAGAAATCACAGTAGCATCGATTTACTTTTATTCAAACTCACTAAAATTCTGAATACACTTTTACTTACATTGATAAATTAGTCAAATACATTGACAAAACCGTACCTAAGAAAAGTATCAATTTTTCATACAGATTTTTTAAAATAACTTTTTTGATAGAAGAAAGTCATTCTTGTTATATGTTTTGATGATTTATTTTTACGCGATTCATTGAATGAAAGATTTATCTGAAAACAGAAATTGGAGTCTTGACAATGGTTAAAATATATGTGAAAATCATCATTTTTATGTAGTGTAACTTTCTTTGAAGCTGAAATTGTATACTTGTTAAGTCAATTATCGGTTAACGTCAACCTTCATAAGCCTTTCACAACAACCTTTACAAACCTTCTCGAAGAGATTGACGCTAACGAGAATCAACTATATATTAATATATATAGGGTTTGGATCAAAAATTAGTTTATAGCATATAAAGCATATAAATTTAGAAACTTTATAAAAGTCAATTTAATTCGAGCGTTTCTTCTTAATAAATATTTTAAGATTAATTCGCTTTGAAACTGTTTTATTGAAGCCGTTTAGCTATTTCAGAATGATTTGTTGATTGTTATTAAATATCGTTTCATTAACTATCACTTAATGTTTTTAATATTATCAAGTACTATTATTAGTTTTGTGATACAAGTAGATCTTATGTAAAACATTAACATTTTATAAATATATCAAAATTAAATAAATCTTATCAGATATATCATAATATTTTCGGATTTTTAAATACTATGTGATAAATTTAATTATAAAGATTTAGTTAGCTTAGTAAATAGACTAACTCGAGCTAATGTATTGTACTTACTTTCTAGATTAAACTTACTTGTTGAAAATATCTTTATAATTATAAAATATAATGTTTAATAATAATGATAATTAGATTATAAATTAATCCACATGCTCACGTGTAGATTAAGTTACAAATTAATTTAAGTGTTTAACATATTTACATTCTGATTAACTTGCAAATTTCTAAGTAGACCTGATGCTTACGTGTTCCTTTGTAAAATGCCATATTTTTATATAGGGCAAAAACTCCAAAACAAAAATCATTACATAAAAATTCAAAAATAAATATAATTCATTAATATGTTAAAAATTATAAAAGTAATTTTTTAACCAAAAAGTCTTCCTTTTATATATAAATAATAAAACCAAGACGGAATTTACTAAAAGTACAGGTATACCTCGCCTTACGTCGGCAATTGGTTCCAGGAAAACGATTTAAGTCGAAAAACGACGTAAGTCGAATTTACTTGTCTCCGAATCTACTTGTCATTAGGCTAAACCATAAATTACTATTCCCAGTTTTGTATTTTATTTATTAATGCATTTTTAATAATATATGGTTAATAAGAATCTATTTTAAGCTTACAAACAAATAAATTTCAGTTTTTAATAGAGTACAGAAAAAAGTAATCTAAATTTACGAATGCATGTACTGTACTGTAAATACAGTACATACTTGTAAATGTATATATTTTAATATGATTTTATGTGCTTTAAACGCTTTTCTAGTGATATTACGACTTCAATATTTGTGGCGGACAGACGTAAAGTCGAATAAAATGACTTAAACTTGATTTTTATTTTTCCGTATACTTTTTTGACAAACGACGTATAATCGGGAACGACGTAACTCGAAACGACGTAAGTCGAGGTATACCTGTATTCACAACGAAAAGAAAATGCAAAATTTAGTCTTCTTTATATAATAGCAACACAAAATCCCACAGTTCTGTTGGATCTTTTTCTGTACTTTTTTTCATGTAAACAAGGTAACTCGAGGGTAGATGGTTAGGAACTCATAGTTCGTGAGTTTCTCGACATATGTCCCGTTCACCGCATTCACAACACTGCGCACATCAATTTTTCCCGGTATGTTTTTTCTGTATTTTTCAATTTATAGCGACTTAAAAATCTGTAGGCAAGAAATTATGGCCTGAAATTATTGCTTGCGTGTTCTAGAATGCTATTAGCGGCGAAAACCTAAGACAATCAGTATTTTCTGCGGAAATAATGAAAATAGAACACTTGTTAAGTGTATCTTGTGGTGAAATAAGACAGTCATGTTCAATTGTGAATCACGTGAAAAACCATCCTATCTTATAGGTTGGGGAAGATGATATTGACCATCTTATCAATGTCCAGGTTATTCAATGAAAATCATGTTTTGCCATGAAATACATTTGATGTAAAAATTGCGCATCTGTATAAATATAAACAACATAACCAATCATCTTTCTGGTATAGAAATAATATTTCCACTATGACTTAACACTACATAACTTCCGGTTCTAATATCCTGTCTTTGCCGTCCATCCACGATCAGAATATTATTTATCTTCTCCACCGACCAATCACCTGGACCATCACAACTTGAACTCCATTTTCCTTCTACAACTATACCAGAATCATCAGCAAATTCATTACTAGTCTAAACTTCGTCAAGTTTCGAAGAATTGCGCCCAATACCACGCATGAGCGCTGGAAGCAAACCAGATTCAAGAAAGCAACATGCAGAAGAGCTAGCTTCGTCAGAGTTTAGAAACCAAAAGTTAACACAAAAATTCGGGAAGAAAAAAGTAAAAGCGAAAAATCTTCTCGGAAGAAATCCCTGAAAGAGAGTCGGGTAATGAAGATACATCAGCCTCTTTCAAGAATGCTGATTACTGTTGCTTCTGTCGCTACTTCTACACTAAACGTGGCAAGTCTGCGACTGAGTAGAATATATAAGGTGCAGAAGGTGGATACACTAAGTCCGCAACCTTCTGCCCGAAATGCGACGAGATTGGATCTGGTGATGACAGCCCAACAGATGGAGGTGATCCAGATCAGTCTTCCGAGTTGCAGAATAGTGA